CAGACGCCGCGCCGACCGACTCAAAACCAGTGAGGTCGGCCGCAGCGGCAGAGGCGACAGAGGGCAGCAGGGGGGAAGGACCACACCCCTCAAAGATGGGGGTGCGAGGGTCACCCCGAGAGGCCCCTACAGCGATAATACTCTTCTCAGCCGCTAGCAGGGACTCCTCAAGGAGGTCGACAGTGAGAGTGGTGGGACAGACAGAGAGAAACTGGTCCCTAACGACACGAAGGGACTCAGGGAGACGGGTGACGAGAAAGTAGAGAGTGATGTACATGGGAGGAGGGTTCGCAGCGCGGAACTCAGCAGGAAGGGCAGCGCGGTAGCGGGTGTCACTAGCACGGAGGTGGGTAACGAGGTCAGCAACAGTGGGAAAGGAGGCGAGGTCAGGGAAGAGAAACGGTAGCATGAGGCGGCTAAGGGTAGCGGAGGAAGGGGAGGAGTAGCGTGCAACTACAGCGTCGTACAAGGCCTGAGCGGTCTTGCACTGACTAAAGTGGGCACGCTCAGAGGAAGGGAGGTGGCGACGCACAGCAAGACGTGCAGCAGCATCGCGGGTCGCCCACTTGGAGCGAACGGCAGAGTCAGCATCAGCAGGTGGGGCAGGGACAGCGCCAGAGACAAAGTCAAAGAGAGAGACCTCATCTATCGCATCACACAGTAAGTACAGCTGCAGGTCTTCAATCCAGACGGCAAAGTCAATGGCCCTCCCCTCAGCGTCAAAAGTAAGAACATTGGGGGTGGCCATGGCAGCAGCTGAAAGTCTCACCGGGCTGGGAGAGTCGGGTAGGTCAGCAGCAGAGGAACACAGCTCAGGAACAGCGGCACGGCTCGGGCGGCTCGGGTTGCTGGGGCGGCGCGGGCGGCTCGGGCGGCTCGGGCGGCTCGGGCGGCTGGGGCGGCTCAGGCGGCTCGCGCGGCTCGGGCGGCTCGGGCGGCTCGGGCGGCTCGGGTTGCTGGGGCGGCGCGGGCGGCTCGGGCGGCTCGGGCTGCTGGGCTGTACGGGCGGCTCATGCGGCGCTGGTGTCGCGACGGGCGGCTCGCTGGCGGCTCGCGGGCGGCTGCACAGGCGGCTCAGGGACGGCGGCGCGGGCGGCTCAGGGAGCTCACGGGCGGCTGCGACGGGCGGCTCGCGGGCGTCGGGCGCTAGGGCGTTGGGGCGACGACGGGCGGCGCTCAGGCGTTCGGGCGGGCGGCCGTCAGGGCGCTAGGGCGGGCTGCGTTCGGGCGCTAGGGCGGGCGGCCGTCAGGGCGCTAGGGCGAGTGGCGCACGGGCGCTAGGGCGGGCGGCCGTCAGGGCGCTAGGGCGAGCGGCGCTCGGGCGCTAGGGCGGGCGGCCGTCAGGGCTCTAGGGCGGGCGGCGCTCGGGCGCTAGGGCGGGCGGCGCTCGGGCGCTAGGGCGGGCGGCGCTCGGGCGCTAGGGCGGGCGGCGCTCGGGCGCTGGGCGGGCGGCCGTCAGGGCGCTAGGGCGGGCGGCCGTCAGGGCGCTAGGGCGGTTGGCGCTCGGGCGCTAGGGAGGGCGGCCGTCAGGGCGCTAGGGCGGGCGGCCGTCAGGGCGCTAGGGCGGGCGGCGTTCGGGCGCTAGAGCGGGCGGCCGTCAGGGCACTAGGGCGGGCGGCCGTAAGAGGAGAGAGCGGCGGGAGCGCGACGGTAGGGGCGACACGCAGGGTCGCTAAAAAAAAAGAACGCGCGCCTCGGGGCGCGCTTCGGTGGGCCCTAGGAACAGTCCCTAGGAGGGGACCTGCTCTGATTCCATGAGAATAATTGAACGAGAATGAAATGAGTATGAACGAGGTGAGTACAAATAGGAAACCCTGATTGGGTTGTACCCCCTATGGGATACCCCACTATAGCCTACACAAATAAGTAAGCTATATGTTCTGACACGACATCCACGTCAGCATGTTTCAGTTTCATCTTGAGTACGTCATAATGCCACGTGGCGTTCTCGTAACACTTTCGCTGTGGTTGCTGAGAAGTGACTTTCCGCAACTTTGAGGTTGATTTACTGCATACCGGGTTAGTTGCGTCAGTGTATGCAGTTTCTGTCGATTTAGTGACAGAAAAGTTGCATCGCAAGTCACTACAGCACCCACGATTTTGAACCTTGACTTTTTTCTTGCGGGAGAAATGCAACCCTAAAGTAACGAGGCAGTAACTTTCGAGTTGCTTTTTGCAGTTCCCTTTTCCGCGATGTACGCGGCTCGGAATTTAGCTTACTCAACAACCGCTTTCCTAGATTTAAAAACGTTGGTTCTATAGTTGCGCCCTTCATCTTATCATTTGCACTTGCCCGCTACGAGGAGCCGACCACCAATAGGACAAACGGCACTGTGTTTTAGCACAAATAGATGTTTAGATAAGCAGGCGCGCGCTTGGAGGACATGAGCGCGTAGGTGCGCTTGCGGCATCCGCAGGTAGTAGCGGTGCGCGCTAGAAGCGTATGAGCGGGTGGGCAGCAGCACATCGCAGCAGCAGGAGCAGAGGCAGCGGCATGGTGTGCGTGAGACACCGCAGCGTGCTTGAAGCAGCAGCGCGCAGCAACCTGATCGCATTAGCAGGTGCATTCGCAGCATCGTCTGCAGCAGCAGCAGGGCGCTGCAGCAGGGGCGTTAGGAGAAGCGGCAGCAGGACGTGCGCGTAGAGCAGGCAGCGGCGAGCAGCAGCTGGGATCGCATCAACAGGTACTTTCGCGGCATTCGCAGTAGCAGAAACGCGCATCTGCAGGGGCGTTAGGAGCAGCGGCAGCGGGATGTGCGCGTAAAGCACCGGAGCGCGCTAGCAGCAGCGGCGCGCAGCAGGTGGGATCGCATCAGGAGGTGCATTCGCAGCATCAGCAGTAGCAGCAACGCGCATCCGCAGGGGCGTTAGGAGCAGCGGCATCGGGATGTGCGCGTAAGGCACCGGAGCGCGCTAGCAGCAGCGGCGCGCAGCAGGTGGGATCGCATCAGCAGCTGCATTCGCAGCATCAGCAGTAGCAGCAACGCGCATCTGCAGGGGCGTTTGGAGCAGCGGCAGCGGGATGTGCGCGTAAAGCACTGGAGCGCGCTAGCAGCAGCGGCGCGCAGCAGGTGGGATCGCATCAGCAGGTGCATTCGCAGCATCAGCAGTAGCAGCAACGCACATTTGCAGGGGCGTTTGGAGCAGCGGCTGCGGGATGTGCGCGTAAAGCACCGGAGCGCGCTAGCAGCAGCGGCGCACAGCAGGTGGGATATCATCAGGAGGTGCATTCGCAGCATCAGCAGTAGCAGAAACAGGCAGCAGCAGAGGCGATAGGAGCCGCGGCAGCAGCAGAGGCGATAGGAGCCGCGGCAGTAGCAGGTGCTTCAGAAGTCTTTTGCGCATAGCAGCAGCAGATGTGTTTGTTACATCGGCATCAGCAACACATAGCAGCAGCAACTGTGTTCGGTGCATCAACATCAGCAGCGCATAGCAGCAGCAGATGTGTTCGGTGCATCAACATCAGCAGCGCATAGCAGCAGTAGCTGTGTTCGGTGCATCAACATCAGCAGCGCATCGCAGCAGCAGATGTGTTCGGTGCATCAACATTAGCAGCGCATAGCAGCAGCAGCTATGTTCGATGCATCAGCATCAGCAGCGCATAGCAGCAGCAGATGTGTTCGATGCACAGCCATCAGCACCGCATAGCAGCAGCAGCAGCATTGGCATGTACGCGTGTTGCATCAGGTGCACATTAGCAGCATGTGCGTTCGGCATTTGGGCGTGAAGGATCAGAGCACGTTGCATGAACAGCAGGAACCGGTTCGTTTGCAGGGTTGACAGCATCAGGTGCTTTTGTAGCATTGGCAGCTGCAGCAAGTGCGCAGCGGCGGCAGTAGCAGCAGCATGAGTTCGCAGCAGCAGGCGCGCTCGCATCAGCAAAGCGGTGGCAGCAGGCCGCAGTGGCGCGGTGCAGCAGGTAACTTCGCAGCATCAGGTTTAGCGGCGTCGCGCAGTAGCAACATGGATCAACAAAGCCTCCCGTTTGAGTGCGACCAGGATGGCTGTGATGCAAAATTTGCCACTCAGCGACTGAAAGCGTTGCACATGAGCAGGGGCCAGCATACGTTTCACGGCATTCAGGGTAGGGCAGCAGCTGGGGCTAGCACGGCGGGCATGGGACTTAGCATGCGTAGCTTTGTGGCCGCAGGTCAAGCTCTTGAGTGCAGAAGCCGAAAACGTAGGATTGTTACTCCATGCGAACTGGGGGACCGATTAGAGCCAGAGACAGATGCAGCGACCCCCAACGCAGACTTGACTGGCTACGACCTTTCACCTGCAGGCAACCCCTCTTTAGTTAACATGGATGGTAGGTTCTACAAGTTCTGTAGGACATCTGCAGGGGGTGCAGGTTTGTCCCGGGCTGACATCAAAGAACTGATTCAGATATTGATCGAGGCCCTTGAGAATCCGGGTAGTGTTAACCTTAGGAGTCTAGGGGATTTTGATAGGTTCGAGGAGAAACAAACTGCAGAGGCCCAGTTGGAGGGCTTTCAAACCACAAGCCTTGGGAAGCCATGTGACTTAAAGCCTGTAGTAGTGTATTGGCGCTCAAGCATGTCATGTGTATGAGGTCTGTACCAGAACCGGGCCAATGCAGAGGGATTCGTGGTTCGGGCTCGTAGGTTTGGAAAAAAGCAGATGAGGATTTACAAGGGTCCAGAAACTGGAACCTGGTGGGCAGAGGTGGAAGATGCGTTGCCCGTGAATGGTCATGTTGCCGCTGTTATCCTTTACTCTGATCAGACAACTTTGACTACTGACGGCAGGGTGACCGGGTGGCCTGTATACATATCGCTCGCTAACATCTCTTCCTCAAACAGATGGAAATCTCACGGCCACCGTCTGGTCGCTCTCCTTCCTGTTATTGACGACCAGACCTTCAAAGGGGCTGACGACACGCGCAGGCAGAATGAAGTGTACCACGATGCACTGCGCATGATCTTGGAGGAACAAATGAACGTTCTAAAAAAGTGAGTGGTTCAGAGTGGCCCTTTCGCATGGTAAAGGACGACAATGTTGTTTCATCCCTGCCCTCCTCCCTGCCCTCTTCTCTACCATCCTCCATGCTTTCCTCCCTGCCCTCCTCCCTACCATCCTCCCTGCCCTCCTCTCTACCATCCTCCCTGCCCTCCTCTCTACCATCCTCCCTGCCCTCCTCTCTACCATCCTCCCTGCCCTCCTCCCTGTCCTCCGCCCTGCCCTCATCCCTGCCGTCCCCCTGGCCCTCCCCTCCTCCGTCGTTTTTCCCTGCCCACCTCTCAGCATCGTCCATGCATGGCCCCTCCGTTCCCCCTGCTGGGTATTTTGTATTTGGTTTCTACGTGTTTTGTTTGACATTGACTATCTGATTCGTACCCTACCCTACAGGGGGGAGAAGCTGACAGACCCTTATGGGATCGAACGTTGGGTCTACCCTGTCACCTATGCATATGTTGGGGACTACCCGGAGCAGTGCAAGGTGGCAGGTACCAAATCGGGGATCAAAACTGCTTTCCCCTGCCCAAAATGCAAAGTTCCAAATGAAAAGCTCGGTGACATAACTTACCCTATGAAATATCGAACGGAGATTGAGCAGCAGAAACTCGTCCGTGAAATGCAGCTAGCCCCAACCAAAAAAGCAATGGAAGAATTGGAGGTCAAGCACAGCACTCATTTTGTTAAGGTGGGTTTAGCCAAGCGTTCTCAACTTGCAGTGACCGTTATGGGGTGTAACTTGGTTAGTTCGTCCCTAACATGTCTTCGTCTTGACGATTGCAGAGCGCACTGTGGGGATTTCGATTTGGTGAGACAAGCTTCGGCAACCCATATAGGCAACTGATGGTGGACATCATGCACATGTCCTCTTTGGGGGTCTACAAGCACATTGTAGATAGCTTGAAGCAGCAGCTATCAAACGAGGCTCTCAGACAACTAGACAGGGCACTATCTACCGTTACCCAGTACAACCGCCAATCCTTCTTCCGTCTTCCCGCGCATACTGACGGATACTTCAGTGGCAACGCCACGTTCTATGCCTTCCAGCACCAGGCTGTTATGCAGGTGCTGCCCATTCTGATGTCAACCGTCAAGGACATGAACCCAGAGTGGGTGAGGACCGTGGAGCTGTTTTGTTTGTGGCATACCCTCGTTTGGCATCGCGCCTATCACACTGAGAAGTCACTGAAGAATCTGCAAGAGATGGCTCGTGTGTAAGTACTGTGCAACCGTGTACTTGCCAATATTTGTTGTTTCATCCAGTAGATTGTTTGTTGTGTAGTAGGTTTGTCATGAACCAGCACGCTAGATTCGTGTATGTGGATAAGGAGAATCACTAACACCCGGCACCGCCCTTTCCATCGCATTTCCCCTTTAACCTTTGATGTCCTGCCTTTACAGCAGGTAGCCCAGGGAGCATCACTGTTACCCCACACTGCTCTTGATCTCACTGATTGCCCTCTCACTGCTCTTGATTTCACTGATTTCAATCTCTCTGTTTTATATCTCACTGATTGCACTCTCACCGCTCTTGATCTTGCTGATTGCACTCTCACTGCTCTATGTCTCAATGATTGCACTCTCACTGCTCTTGATCCCACTGATTTCAATCTCTCTGTTTAGATCTCACTGATTGCACTCTCACCCCTTTTGATCCACTGATTCTACTCTCCCTGCTTTTGATCCCACTGATTCCACTCTCCCTGCTTTTGATCCCACTGATTCCACTCTTCCTGCTTTTGACCCCACTGATTCTACTCCACCTGCTTTTGATCCCACTGATTCTACTCTCCCTGTTTTTGATCCCACTGATTCTACTCTCCCTGCTTTTGATCCCACTGATTCCACTCTCCCTGCTTTTGATCCCACTGATTCCACTCTCCCTGCTTTTGATCCCACTGATTCTACTCCACCTGCTTTTGATCCCACTGATTCCACTCTCCCTGCTTTTGATCCCACAGATTCCACTCTCTCTGTTTTTGATCCCACTAATTCCACTCTCCCTGCTTTTGATCCCACTGATTCCACTCTCCCTGCTTTTGATCCCACTGATTCTACTCCACCTGCTTTTGATCCCACTGATTCTACTCTCCCTGTTTTTGATCCCACTGATTCTACTCTCCCTGCTTTTGATCCCACTGATTCCACTCTCCCTGCTTTTGATCCCACTGATTCCACTCTCCCTGCTTTCGATCCCACTGATTCCACTCTCCTTGCTTTTGATCCCACTGATTCTACTCCACCTGCTTTTGATCCCACTGATTCCACTCTCCCTGCTTTTGATCCCACAGATTCCACTCTCCCTGCTTTTAATCCCACTGATTCCACTCTCCCTGCTTTTGATCGCACTGATTCCACTCTCCCTGCTTTTGATCCCACTGATTCTACTCCACCTGCTTTTGATCCCACTGATTCTACTCTCCCTGTTTTTGATCCCACTGATTCTACTCTCCCTGCTTTTGATCCCACTGATTCCACTCTCCCTGCTTTTGATCCCACTGATTCCACTCTCTCTGTTTTTGATCCCACTAATTCCACTCTCCCTGCTTTTGATCCCACTGATTCCACTCTCCCTGCTTTTGATCCCACTGATTCTACTCCACCTGCTTTTGATCCCACTGATTCTACTCTCCCTGTTTTTGATCCCACTGATTCTACTCTCCCTGCTTTTGATCCCACTGATTCCACTCTCCCTGCTTTTGATCCCACTGATTCCACTCTCCCTGCTTTTGATCCCACTGATTCTACTCTCATGCACTGATGTCACCACCACTGGTTTTGATCCTACTGATTTCACTCTCACAGCTTTATAACTCACCGATGTCACCATTACTGCTTTTGATCTCACTAATCTCACACTCAATGCATTTGATCCCAATGTTTATGAGTTCACTGAATCCACTCTCAGTTATCTCGATCTCTCTGATTTAATTCTCACTGATTTAAATCTCACTGATTTCAATCTCACTGATATAAATCTCACTGATTTCAATCTCACTGATTTCAATCTCACTGATTTAAATCTCACTGATTTAAATCTCACTGATTTAAATCTCACTGATTTCAATCTCACTGATTTCAATCTCACTGATTTCAATCTCACTGATTTCAATCTCACTGATTTCAATCTCACTGATTTCAATCGCACTGATTTCAATCTCACTGATTTCAATCTCACTGATTTCAATCTCACTGATTTCAATCTCACTGATTTCAATCTCACTGATTTCAACCTCACTGATTTCAATCTCACTGATTTCAATCTCACTGATTTCAATCTCTCTGATTTCAATCCCACTGATTTTCATCTTTCTGATTTAAATCTCTCTGATGTCAATCTCACTGAATTCAATCTCTCTGATCTCACTCTCTCGGAATGCAAACTCTCTGATTTCAATCTCACTGTCACCATGTACCTCCTTTCCCGTCATGTTTCCTCTTCAAGCTCGTGCGGCTGAACTTCATGATTGGTGTGCGCGAGGGGTTAGGTTTCCTTCCATAACCAGATTTACTCTCAAATTCAGCTTCCATGTCCTTGCCGACCAGACCAGAAGCATGTGCGAAGTAGAGACAAAGGAGTTAGGAGGCACAAAGGAGGCAGGGGAGAATCTGGGATTACGGAGGGAGGACATAAACCCGCTAAACCTTTTTTGAACTTCCTGCACCCATCTCCCCCCGCCAACTCCCTGCTTGTACCTTGCAGCCAGATCTCATCATAGGAGGCAAATGAGCATGTGTTGGTGTCAGGCTGGAAATTGTGGGCAGTCAGCAGGCCTTGTTGCTTGACGTCAAGTAGAGGTTTCTATTTTTTAATCCATCCGCCCATGTCTTACATTTTGTCACAACCATATGAATCCCGAACCAGGTTGGTCCCTCGCCTGATGAAACACTTTGGCTCTCATCAGAAATCAGACTTCAACGTCCCAAAGGTGCATGCAATGCTCCATGTGGCCGATGACATTCGTCGTGCAGGTGTGCCGGTCCACTACTGTACTGATCTCTATGAGCATGTGCACATCTCCATCATGAAGCGACCATATCGTGCCTCAAATCATCATAATGCCGAAGCCTCAATCACCCGCCGCTGCTTGACAAACGAACTTGTAGACTTCATGACTGCAACCGATGATAAAGTAGAAGACAAGGAGGCACGTAGAGTTGCAATGAAGCAAGCTCTGGAGACAGGGTCCCCGGCTGTGACAGGCAAGGTTGCGAAGATAGATCCAACTGACCGACGTACAAGGGTGTGGAAGGAGTATGCCGACACAGTTCCAGGTGATTTTCACCTGCTGAGGGAAAGCATTCTTGCATTTCAGAGGCAGCAAGAACACCCCACAGGGTGTACAGTGACGTGGTCACACGTGATTGATATTCACCAAGGTATTGCTATTCCTCCTGATGAGAATTTCACTAGATATAGCAAGTACCCAGCATATGCACGGGCAGCTCCTCTGTTCCACGGCCATTCTTGGTTCTCAGATGTCATGGTTGGGGGCGTTGAGACTACGGGGGAGTCTGTCATGTGGCCAGCTAAGGTGTTTCTGATCTTCACTTTGCACAAGACTCTCTCATGGACAAGTGTTGATGCACGGACAGGTGACGAGTACACACGAGAGGAAAAGATGGCGGATCAAGTAGCATTCGTGCGCTACTATAAGGCACTTCCGAGCTCAAACACTGTCGACCTGACAACACTGAAGTGGTGGCCTGGTGACCAGGGATATGGGGTGGTACATGTGGGCAGCATACTCAGAGTGCTTCACGTGTTTCCTCTTGAGGCAGATTTTAAAGGCATGGGTGCTAGGTTTCTGTGGAATGAGCTGAAGTGGTAAGTAGTTAGATAACCAGCTAGTACTGTGACATTCAGGCTGGTATGGCAGCTTAGTAGACTTTGTTAAGACTCTAGGTATGAGCTGCCTGCTCTGAACTTGTGCGTTGATGTGGCCTATGACGGAATTGAGACTGAACTGATTGATTAAGAAAGAAGGCACTAGGCCTTAAGTACAAGCGAGGTTGGGATGGGCAAGGCTAGGGAAAGGATGGGATGGGAATCCTAGCAAATTTCCAATTGGTGAGTTGGCAGATTTGCAGGATTACGAGGGAATCCCAACCAGATAGGGTTGGGATCACAAACTACACCCAACCCACAAATAACCTACGCGATATAGAATATAGTACACAAAGTGTTGACAGCCTAGTTCTAACACACCCCCTAGGCTGCAACACATCAGCCACAAGGAGGCCCAACACCCATGGCCGAGAGGAGGTGGTAATGATCCTCGCGAACAAGCGACTTGGTAAACAAGTCAGCAAGGTTGCAGTCGGAGGCAATGTGTTCAGCCTTCAGCTGCTCGCGCTGCACCAGCTCCCGAAGAAAGTAGTGACGGACTTCAATGTGCTTGGTGCGGCCATGGAAAACGGGGTCTTTGGTGAGATGAATGGTGCTCTCGTTGTCACACCAAAGCGTTGGGGTTGGTTGGGGATACCCCAGTTCTGTCAGCAGGAAGGAGAGCCAACGAGCCTCCTGTGCAGCCATGGTCCCGGCATACAGCTTTGCCTCACAGGTCGACAGTGAGACGGAGGACGACCGAGTGGAGCGCCAACTTACAACCCCACTGCCAAGGGTAAAGCAATACCCTTGGGACGAGCGCCGATCACTCTGGTCATCAGCATAGGATGAGTCACTGTACCCCTCAAGGCGAACCGGGGAAGTGCCGCCAAGTGTGAGCACATAATCATGTGTGCCTTTGAGATAGCGAAGAACCCGCTTGGCGGCAGACCAGTGGTGGCGAGTGAAGCGACCAGGTGCAACGTAGCGGGACAGTACACTGACTGGATAGGCTAAGTCTGGTCGAGTGCACATCATCGCGTACATGAGGGATCCCACAAGCTCGGGGTAAGGCTCGTCACAGGGCTCAGGTGAGGGAACGGAGGGTGCAGTGAGTTGGTGTTGCAGAGAGAGTGGGGTGGGCATTGATGCTGCTTCCTGCATCTGGAACCTCGTCAGAACGTTGTTGATGTAAAACTTCTGCGAAAGGGTGATGGTGCGGGCTGTGCGATCACGTGTGATTTCCATTCCCAAATAGTTCGTCAGCTTCCCAAGGTCCTTCATGGCCAACTTCTCACCAAGTGCGGTTTTGACTGCTGTCAGCTCAGTCTGATCCTTGGTGACAAGGATCATGTCATCGACATAAACGAGGATGAAGAACCGGGAGGGTGTTGCTCGGATGAAGAGGCTGGGGTCAGAGGTGGATGGGTGAAAGTCGAGGGACCCTAAGGTGCTCTTTAGCTTGTTGTGCCATTCCCGGGGAGCTTGCTTGAGGCCATACACTGGCCGATTCTGCTTCCATACAGTGCCTGGTGGAAAAGGAGTTGGAAATCCTTCGGGCCGCTCCATATAGATTTCCTCTCGAAGGATCCCTTGCAGGAGCGCAGAAGACACATCCATGCAGTCAACCTCCATGTCATCTCGAGCAGCGACATCGAGTAGAGTGCGCAGTGTGGGAGGTTTGGCGGTGGGAGAGAATGTCTCAAAGAAGTCCAGTCCACGCTTTTGGGTAAATCCCTTGGCACAGTACCGGGCTTTGAAGACAGGAAATTCGCCTGGAAGTTGTTTCACCCGAAAGACCCATTTTCCCTTCACAATGTTAACGCCGGAGGGAGGAGAGACGTCTGTGAAAGTTCCTGTGTGAATGAAGGCCTCACATTCTGCGACAATTTCCCCCATCCACTGAGCGGCGTGAGGACCAGAGACTGCTTCAGTATAGGTGAGAGGTGTGGGGATGGAAGGGTTGTCGGAGAAATTGAGGGTGGGAGAGTCTGCGATGTCTGGAAAGAGGGAGCATAGTGCGTGGATGGCTGAGTCGATATCAATCAACTCCTCATGTCTGTCTTCAAGGAGGGATGGCATGAGAGAATAATCACCCCCGACAGGAGGAGGATTGAGAGAGACGCGAACGGAAAGGGAGAACGGTTGTGGAGGTGTGCGAGAGCGGGTGCGAGAAGCGATGGGTGAGGGAGGCGGGGCCGGAGTAGGCGTAGCGGAAGGGGAGGTGGGGGTGGGAGGGAGAGTGGAGACAGGATCGGGATCAGGGGTGGGAGCAGGAGGAGGAGGAGCTGGGTGACGGCGTTGGTAGGTTTTGAGAGGAACGGGCTCGGTAGGAGGAGATGTGAGAGGAGATGGAGGATGGGTAGCGGAGGAGGGAGGGAGCAAGGGAGACTGTGTGGTACTGGAGGGGGAAGCGGGTGATGGGGGATCAGAAATGGTGGAGGGAGCGGGAAGAGGAGGAGATGGAGTGTCGGGAAGAGGGAGACTGTCAAAGTCAGCCCAAGTAAGAGAGGGAGGCGAAGGAGAGGGGGAAGCCTTGGAGGAGGGGTAGAATGGGTGGGACTCATCAAAGTAAACGTCCCGGCTGCGATAGAGCTTGTTGGTGGAAGGATGGAGGAAGAGATAGTCTGGCGAGTCTAAGCTGTGCCCGAGGTATACGCACGTGATCGTTTTGGGAGCAAGTTTGCCGCCAGCCGCACGACGGGCTTGGGAGTTGAGGAGGACATAAGAAGTGCACCCCCATACACGAAGAGGGCGGACGGATGGCTTTTGACCCGTCCATAGCTCAGCGGGGGTGGTGTGGGTGTGATGAGGATGGGGATGGAGATTGTGGAGGGCGGCAGCATGAAGCATGGCGTACCCCCAGAGAGAGGGAGGGGCGGAGGCGTGCGTGAGGAGGCAGCGAGCAATCTGCACCAATGTACGGTTCCGGC